ATCTCTCTCTGTGAAAGAGCAGCCTTTCCCCGCAGTTTCCCCAGATGTGCATTCGCAGGCTCAGCTTAAACTGAAATACCCTACCTCACCTTACACCGCCCACATCTCACCATCCCACTCTCCTGCTGACAGCGCCCCATCGCCTGCTCTGTCCTATTCCTCCACAGGATCTGTTTCAGCCTGCTCCAGCCCTGCAAACACCCCCAAACTGAACCAGTCAAAACAGGATAATAAAGTGCAGGCAATTCATAATTTAAAAACCTTCTGGGCCAACGCTGGCCAGAAACATGAGGTGCCCTCTCCTGCCAGTTTACTCCGAGGGGGGAACAAGAAAATGAGTACAGTTCAGAAAGATGTTTTGGGTTTGCTTAATCTCTCACCTAGACATGAGTCTGTCAGCAAAAATGTAGAGGGATCTGCGGAGCACAACACTGGCGATAGACCGAATGGTCACCAAAAACTGGAGGCGAAACCACCTCCGCCTCCCTCTTCTAAAGGAGGCATCAAACTTCCTTCTGGGAATGGCTACAAGTTTCTGTCACCTGGACATTTTTTTCCATCGTCTAAATGTTGAGAATTTGGGATATTTGCCATGCTGAGCCCAGAGCCAGAGGGCCTATCGTCTGTTCCGTTTTTTGGTGTTTGTACTATGACAGAAGCTGTCCATTTGTCAGCTAAATACCACATTTTTAGCAATACCTGCTGAAGACAAGGATGAAAACAGTACTGTTTGATACTGACAGTGATTTCACATGTATTTTTTTGTGAAGGGATGTTAATGTTTTGAATGTGATGACTGTGCCTTCTTCTGGACAGAGCTGGAAGGACAAAATGACTCTAAGAGAAGTGTTGAGTCTTTGGCTTTAATTGTGTTTTTATGACTGACTAGAGAGCATGTGTCTCAATGCCTCCATGTACTGTACTTAGAGTCTGCTGACTGAATGCCTGAAAAGGAGAACATTTTATGTCGACCCAAATGCTCGCTATATTTGTGTAAGTTGACCTGAATTTGATTTTGATTTATTGCGTAATAATTATTGTTAAATGTCATTATCAATGCTTACTGTTGTCATTTATTTTGTAAAGTAAACTGTGTTTTCCAGTCATTATTATACATTTTATAAAGACAATTAAACCGAGGAAGAAGTTAAAAGAAAACATTTTGATATTTTTTACGGAGATTTGAGTTTGTGTGTGATTGTCAGCATGGTTCCTCTTGCTGTGTGTGTCCGTGTGTTAGTGACTTTATAATGTACAATTTTGCAGCAGTGCCAGACTCCAACTCAGAGATATCTCAATTCTCAAGAAGCTGACCATTAAAAATGTTCCTTTCCTTGTCTTGCTTTTGTGACAGAAATCAATTCTAAAGGGAATAATTCTGTGCCCAATCTTATAGTAAACATTAAACGTGTAAATGTTAGATTTCAGAAGGAGGATTGTTGATCTCTATCCTACAAAAACTCGCTTTAATCGAGTGGCAGAGAGTAACTGAATGCATTCACTAAACACTGTACTTAAGAGCAATCATGAGGTACTTGTACATTACCGGAGTATTTCTATTTTCTGCTACTTTATACTCAATTTACTCCACTGCATAGATTGAATTGCTGCACTTACTATATAAATTCTGATTTATAAAATATGATGCATAGATTAAACTACCAAACAGGATATGAAGCAGTTAAAATTAGCTCCACCTCGCCCAGCCGCAACATTTAACTGCCACTTACATGTTAATGCATCAGTAATAATGATCCAATCATATAACACTGACAGGCGCCATAGTCTACTCATGATATATATATCATATATATATATGTTATTTTTATGATGTACAATATTATTTGATTTAATGATGGGGGTATGCTAAGTGATTGGCCTACCAGCGCTGAGACACTAATCTGTTAAAAAACACATTTTTAAACAATCAGATATCACAGCTTGAACAAAAGGTATAGGGGAAATACAGAATAGACACGATAAATACAACAAAATGAAAGCAAAAACATGACAAGAGCTATGACGAGATTTCTATGTCTTTCCGACACCCGTTGCTGCTTTCAATGAATCCTTGTAATTAAATAATTCTGACATAAAAGCTCTGAAATTTGGGTAAAATTTTGAAAATATTTACTTTGCCTAACAATATAATCAAATCGCTAAAGGAATATAAATAATGATAAAAATAGAGACAATAAAAAGAGACATTATATAAAAATATACGAAAGACGAGACAATATGTAAAATATAAACTGTATATTTAAATAAATGGAACAAAGAAGCTGTTACCAGTAACAGGAAAAATGCAGAATGTGGCAGCTTTCAGCAGTTACGTCCCCACCGTTTAGTCTTATCCGTTATACGCTTTAGGTTAGTTATAGTGTTAAACCACCTAAACATTTCTCTAAATCTTTCCAAAACTTCAGCTTAGATAATCACAAATATTGAATGGAATAAAGTGTATTACAAGGACCTTTCTTTCTTACAAAATACACAA